ACAAAGCCACACAAAAAAGAACAAACAGGAAAAAAAAAATCTCGAACAACAAAAGGACACGGCTCTCCATCTTCGGATGTTGAGAGAGAGTGAAACTACAGACCATTAGAGATTTGACTAAAACAAAAAGGAGCTTGAAAGAAACTACTAAGGAACCCAAAAAAATGGAAAAGAGGGGTAAAAAGGAGACAATCCGAAGTTGTCGCTACCAATCGAAAGAGCAAACCAAAAAATCACGAAATAGGTCCGAACCAGAGCAAAACTGGAGCACCATTTTGAAAACCCAAAAGAAAGCAGACAGGAAATCAAGCCTTCGAAAACACCTTCACAATCGCATATAGTTGAATTAATTTCCTCAACAGCATGGACATTTAAATTCAATCGCCTAAATTACGTTGTTCGACGTTCTCAAGCGCAGCCACATGGATGTCGAAGGTTTATAAAATTATAATGAGTTGCATCGGTGGTTCAACTAAAACCAAACTCAAAGGAAGCTGCAGTGTAATGTCAATCATAGTCGTACAAAAGCTTACCACCGTAAGCCAATCTACTGAATTAGCATCTTGCCAGTTACAAAGTAGGAACTTTGGCAAGATGCTAATTCAGTGGTTCCACTAAAACCAAACTCAAAGGGAGCTGCAGTGTAACGTCAATCATAGTCATACAAAAGCTTACCACCGTAAGCCAATCTACTGATTTAGCATATTGCCAGTTACATAGCAGGAACTTCGGCAATGAAATAAGAAAGATGACAAAACCAACTTACCAACGATCTACTCCAACAATATATACATGGGTAAGAGTTAAATGAAAATATGCCTTATCGGACACTAGATCAGTCCACTGAAGCCAAGCGCGAATGGAGATAAACCACATTAAAGAAAATATTACCTCACTATTCGTGAAAAGCTGAAGCTGAAAGTCGAATCTTCGCAATATCCTACACCAAAGAAAGACGAAACAGAGAATATAAGAAAGCCACACAAAAAGAACAAACGTCACAGGTAGCATGCAGCGAACAACATTCTACAAAATTGAACTTACAATGCTAAAAGATAAAAGAAAGCCCCACAAAAAGGACAAACAGGAAAAAACAAAAATATCGAACAACAAAAGGATACCGCTCTCCTTCTTCGGATGTCCAGAGAGAGTGAAACTACAGACCATTAGCAAACTGACTAAAAAATGGAAAAAAGGGAAAACAAAAGAAAAGGAAACAATCCGAAGTTGTCACCATTGATCGAAAGAGCAAACCAAAAAATCACGAAATAGGTCCAAACCAGAACAAAACTAGAGCAGCATTTCGAAAACCCAAAAGAAAGCGGACAGGAAATCAAGCGCTCAAAAACCCCTTCCTCAATCACATATAGTTCAATTAACTTCATCAACAGCATGTATATTTAAATTCAACCGCCTAAATTGCGTTGTCAGACGTTCTCGAGCACAGCCAGATGGATGTGGAAGGTTTATAAAATTAAGATGAGTTGCATCAGTGGTTCGACTTAAACCAAACTCAAAGGCGGCTACGGTGTAATGTGAATCATAGTCATACAAAAGCTTACCACCGTAAGCCTACCTACTGAATTAGCATTTGCCAGTTACATAGCAGGAACTTGGGCGACCAAGTAAGAAAGATGACAAAACCAACTTACCAACGATTACTCCAACAATATATACATGGGTAAGAGTTAAATGAAAATATGCCTTATCGGCCACTAGATCAGTCCACTAAAGCCAAGATAAACCACATTCAAGAAAATATTACCTCACTATTCGTGAAAAGCTGAAGCTGAAAGCCGAATCTTCACAATATCCTACACCAAAGAAAGACGAAACGGAGAATATAAGAAAGCCGCACAAAAAGAACAAACAGCACAGGTAGCATGCAGCGAACAACATTCTACAAAATCGACCCTACAATGCTAAAAGATAAAAGAAAGCCCCACAAAAAGAACAAATAGGAAGAAACAAAAACCTCGAACAACAAAAGGCCACGGCTCTTCATCTTCGGATGTCGAGAGAGAGAGTGAAACTAAAACAAAACGTACCTTGCAAGAAACTGCTAAGGAACCCAAAGAAATGGAAAAGAGGGATGAAAAGGAAACAATCCGAAGTTGTCGCCGCTGATCGAAAGAGCAAACCAGAGAATCACGCAACAGGTCCGAACCAACCCGACCCGAGCCAAGACCCAAATAGTATATACGGAGGAGTGTCAAAGAAAATAAAAGTTTCATCGATTAAGAGGCTAAAATTAATTTTAAATGACATGATTGGCAATGAATAAAATTTCGTATCCATGATCAAAGTTTGCCGAGCAAGATAGTTTTATTGATCTTCTGTAAATTAAAAACCTATTTTGAGCTTTATTCATAGACGTTAGTGTAGAAGAAGTTTACGATCGGAGAAGGTGTACAATTGTGTTTTAATGCGCAAATGAAAGGTATTACCATAACAAAATTAGGTTATAATCGGAAAGCAAATACAGAGTAATAGATATGTCACATATGTTAGTCAAATTGATGACATGGCGACTAACGTGGTTGATTATCACAATTGAGAATAGCTTAAGTAAACCTAAGTAATAAAAAACTGTTTAAATTTTATAAAAAAAGAAAAATAATGTAAAGAAAAATAGATAAATAGAACAGTTAATTGAAATCAAAAATTAAAGAAAAGGGAATTATTCAATTTTGATCTTCTTATTTGCTTTGTATTTTCATGTTAAGTTCTTGTATTATTCGGAATTTCCATCTTTTTTGATAGCCCGCGAGCGTCTTGACTTCTTTTTCTTCCTGCCTAAGTGCCTATGCAAAATGACCAAAAATAACATAGTAATTATGGAAATTGATATTTTCATTGACTCAAAACTACAACTTCTTCGAAATCTCTGATGATTGGATTTGATTAGTTTTCCCTTATAACTCATCCACAATTAATTTCCGTGGAGTATCTTAACAGCTATAAAGAAAAAAGCACCCCCTACCAAATTGAGTATGTCATAAAAAATTCTACAATCTTACTTTTGTTTCCTGGTTTCTTCCCTATTTTCCTTTTTCATTCCAAGTATCTTCGTTTCTTGACATTAGGGATGTGTAAAGAAACCGGAAATCGCCCGGAACCGGAATCGAAACCGGACCGGATTGGATCGGATCGGATTGGACTTGACTGGAACCGGCGGTTCCTATGGGGACCGATCCGATTCCCGATTTCAATTTACTAGAACCAGTGACTACCGGTTCGGTTCCCGGTCCTAGGTGTGAACCACGCACCCATCCAGACTGAACCGGTAATATATATAATTTCAAAGAAAGATTTCCAACCAAAAAAAAAACGAAAACATTTTAAGAAAAATGAAAACCGTAAAATCCATAAACTAAAACTCAACATTCATCAACTAAGTGATAGTCTTGTCTCACTCTCACTTTGTCTGAATTGTCTCTCTATCTCTCATTCATGGTCTCGACTCTTAAGCTCATCGCCCATCGACTCACGGTCTCAACTCTCAACTCCCATCAAATCACGATTGCATTTCCGACCGTTTATCGCCTCCCTATCTCACTCTCGACCACCTCTATTTTCGTGAAGTTTGGTGGGACCGGTTCCATGGACCCACCTGGGAATCAGACCGGACGGGCGGTCAAGTTCTTGGGTGGATCCATAGAACCAATGGGCAATTCCCGGTTCCATGGTGGAAACTACCCACCCGAACCATATTCATCCCTACTTAACACAATTGTCTTTTTTGTGTGCTTTTTTGCACTCGACCATGTGACAATATGAAATGAAAATGTAAATAATAAAATACACATAGGTTATAAATATATTGTCCAGTAAGGAGTATCGCTTGTGTAAATAAATTTCACATTAGTTTAATTATTATAAGAAAATTTTAGTCGTCGAAGCAAATTAGAAATGTGTATCTTGCTAGATTAAAAGTGAAGATAAAGCAAATGAAAGACTTATCTTATTGCTACGACATTTATATATAATTTTAAGTATGCCTTATTTTGACTAATTGAACAAATTTTACCAAATAAATTTATCCCATCAGCGAAGAAAGCGCAATTATTAATAAATATAAGATAGTTGAAAAGAGTTATCTTTATAATTTAAACGGAGAACTGAAATAAATAAATATATATTACTCACAAAACACATTACTTATAATTTATAACACAGATAGAACCTGGGTAGACCCTATAACCGACCTTGAATCAGTGACAGGATACATTCTAGGTTTCAAAATATTTATAGTAGGTTCTCGATATAAAAAAAATTAGGAACTTATTTCGCTCACCCCTAATTTTAAAGGACAATTCAGTCCAATCAACTAGTAACCATTATGGCCATTTATATGTTTTACTCAATTTATTTGTAGAATCGATCGAATATCTTTGTTACTTGATATTTATTACTTAAAATGACCTATTTTTCGACTTATAAGCAATGAGTTTTGTGAGTAATATATACTTGGTTTTTCCATTTTTTCATTTAAATGGAAAAAAAAATGAGTCATTTTAACAGTCTTATATTTATTTTTAACTGTGCATTCTTCGTTGATAAGAATAAATTTATTAAGTATGATTTGCTCATTAGTCAAATAAGCCACACCTAAAACTATGAATAGACGTTTTAGTAATAAGATAAGTTTTAAATTTGTTTTATTTTCAATTTACTCTAGCGAGATAATATCTCTAATTTTTTCAATGATTAATTAATAATCAGACTTATGGACCTTATTCAAATTATCTAAAACATATCCATTTAGTAAGGCACGCGATATTTACTTATAACCTACATATATGTTTATTGTAAATTAAAAGGATTGCCATAAGCCCACTTGCTTTATCACTACGTGCTCGCCTCGTGGATGAGTTTTAAAGCTAAATTAATCTAATAAAATACAGAGAATCCACCGACCCAAAATAATAATAATAATAATAAAGAATCGTTTTAGCTGGGGAAATATTATTTCCTAAGCTATTGATTAGTTTCCTTTATACACCGTTTTACTTGCGTACGATCCGAGTACGAGGTTTCGCAGCCGAAGTTAGCTCTCTCACTCGGCAGATGCCGCAGCGACTGTGCGCGAGGCAGGAGCACCCGGCGGAGACCGAGTCCATGCGGTGCATGTCGGCGGAGCACGCCGACGCCGACGCCGACACGCGCAAGGAGTCCTACGAAGAGGCGAGCGAGACCGTGGAAGAGCTCGAGCGAGAAATCGAGCACTTGAAATCCAAGGTCGCCTCCTTGAGGTCCTGTTCTCCGACCGACCACCACCACCACCTCTCCGGACCCGGGTCCACCGACGTCGTCTTGGTCGCCGCCGAGGACGGCAACGGAGGCCCGTCGATGCCGGTGCCGGCTCGCAGGGCCGTCCTGGTGAGTATTGATTTGGTTGCTGGTTTTTTTTCGATTTGAATTTGGGGATTTTTCTTTGTTTTTGCTCTGTTATCCATTTAAATTTAAGATTTTTATTTGTTTTTTCTCTGTTCTCCCATTAAATTTGACTTTTTTCTCTGTTCTCCGATTAAATTAGAGATTCTTCTTTGTTATTTCTCTGTTCTCCGATTAAATTTGAGATTTTCAGAAGGGGCGAGAGGTTTAGTCAACAGTGGTTAAGCTTCAATTAGTTTGTAGTTGATTTGTGGGTGTTCAGATGTTCTGTTCCTGCTCCAAGTTCTAATGGTGGGCGTGTCTCATAGGGTGGTGTCTCGAATAAGTGGTCAATTACGTCATGGAGAAATTCTGGAATAATTCTTCGCGAAGGGAACACTTCCCTTATGAGTTTTATTTCAGTCATTGGACGACAAAGGGTGCGGAGAACCGCTGTAGAAGTCTTGATTTATGTTAAGTTGAGGCGCTTGACTGTGAACTGATGCCCAAATAAAGAGAGAAATGGAAGGAAAGATACTCTTTTGGGAGAAGAGAGCTTATAGTGGATGGTCTGAAAACGGGGTTGGTCAATTGTCTGGGTCGAGCTATTAAGGTTTCTACTCTCACAGCAGCTAGGAGTTATGAGAGAGTAAAAAAGTAAGGCTCATAGAGTATTTCCATAGAAGTTTTATGTTCGTTTGGCTCTTATGGGCATTCCTTTGAATAACTGCTACAGAGAAACGACCATTGTAACGGTAGTTTGTGCAGATAGATTTAAAGAAGGGAGACCTACGGAGAATTTGCACTTGGATTTTTAAGATGAGTTTTACGTGTTCATGAGAATTCGGTACTCGACATTGACCTGGGTGTGCTATCACAGTGGTTCTTTTGGCTTACTAGTTGACAGCCATCACTCTTTGCCCTTGCCACTTGAAGTCCGTGACAGGGTGGTAGTTTCAGTCTGAAATCAAAGGGTGCCTCCGATTAATGCTTCTGAGTTAGGGCTTGCATGATTAAATGCTTCCGATGCCTCCGAGGAGGCCTACATGATCCCTTTAATTGGCTCCCCATATTGAACTTTCATGCTGCCATATTCTTAAAGAACAGTACTTATGTTATTAATAGCTGAATAAAATCCTAGCCATCTCCTGCTCGTCAGGTTGCGTCGGTCAAGCCAGCCTTCATATTTCTTGTGCATGAGGATATCAAATAGAAGCCAGCCACTCTAGAATTGGCAACCATGTAAATATTACAAACTTCCCGTCATAAATGACCACGCTTGCCGCAAGATACTCTTCAGAGATGATTGGATAGAGTGTGGGGTCGTGTAAATGATTTACATAATCACTATCCTAATTGTTGTGTACTGGAGCTAAGCTAACCAATTAAAAAGAAACAACAATTATTCATCTTAGATTTATGCCTTTTTGTCCACTTTAATTTTATCGAGTGGGCCGCTACCAAACAAGTTCTGTTAGATCTCTTCTTTCCTCCTCAGCCAAGTCCTGATTAAATCAGCAAGAGTTCTAACCATATGTATTCGATTATCAATCTTTTGGTGATCCAGCCTAAAAAAAAAAGATGTTAGACCGCTTTTTTCTTTCGCTTCTGGCCTCAATAATTGCTTGGAGTGGTCTTGGTCTTCTCTCTTCTTGAGCCTAAACTTATGTTTACTTGAGTTTTCAAAATATGTTATGCCGAAGTTTAGGTGGATTAAATAGTTCTTGAGCGTATATAATCAGCATTATCAACTCAATATGAATTTATGCGATTCTTTACCTAGAGACTTGCTGTAAAATTCTGCCACTGTACATGTTTGTGGCCTGATATATATGATAGTAACGGGGGTTGCATTTTCTTTTGGAACTGCATGCTGCTAAGGATGCACCTATATAAGATATTTCCACTAACAGATTATGTCTTTTACTTGCTAGTCTGATGTTAAACTCTCTCTTAGGTTGATCTGGAGGTTTTTTTATTAGCTTTCTTCCATTCAGGCATTAGAAGTACATATCTTTGTTTGCTTGGACTGGTTTCTAAACCAGACAGATTCTCAATTTTATTTTACAGGTAATTGATTTCTCTTATTTGCTTGGAATGAGGCTTGTCGTGTTGAGTGGAATGTTAATTTCTATTTGACGTGACATGTTTAGTAATTGAGTTGCTGGATACTTCATTCATTATGACTCTTCCACAAGATTTGATTTAAGCAATGCTTGAGCCACCGGATATGCATTTGGCTTGCTTCTATGTACATTTCATTGGAGTTATCAGCTGAAAACACTGCACAAGCTTGAGTTATGGTCTTCCCCTTGGCATAGGGGACTTACGAGCATACATAGTTTTCATAATTTTTGTAATTGATAATGATAGCAAGGACATGTTTCAGACGCTTTGCTTGCATGCTCATAATATTCATATCTGGACTTCCTCCAATTTAGCAAACTCTTACTCATATAGATGTGATGCATGAACATCTCCTATCAAACTACCGAGTTTTCACACTGCAAGAATTGCGTTTTTGAATCCTCTTTAATGTTCTATTTTCAATCAGGCTAGCCGGTCCCCTGTATTTAAAGCAATGCTCGAGAATGAGATGGAAGAAAGCCGAAGCGGGACCATTAAGATAAGTGACATGTCATATGATGCCCTCCGGGCATTTGTTGACTATCTTTATGCTGAAGCAGGGCTCGATGAGCAAATGGTTTGTGAGCTCCTAATATTGGCCGAAAAGTACCAGGTGGAGCACCTTAAAGCTTATTGTGAGAAGTTCTTGGTATCCAAATTAAACTGGGACAACTCGATAAAAAATTATGCCTTTGCGCACCAGCACAAGGCGAAGGTTCTTCTTGAGGCCTCCTTGTCCTTAATCTTGGATAACATGGGTAAATTCCCAAAACATCCTAAATATCCAGAACTCGTTGAATTGCGCCTTGCGAACGAGATATACATAGCATTTCTTGCAAAGTGGTTTAATTGGTAACAACAAATCAGTGGTTGAATGTGTTTTCGATTTTCTGTTCTCACCTGATGGAATAATGAGTTTTAGATGACTTTTTTTTTCTTTTTTTGGTCTGTTTAGATGACTTTTATGTTTGGTTTGTTGATAGATCTCATTGCCTTTCTCTTAATGAGGATGCAATTTGAAGAGTTTTCAGATTCTATAGTAAACTTTTATTGAAGCAGAGTGCGCGCGCAATGTCATGACAACAGCTTGGTCTTACTCAATGATTGTTTGACGGATGTAAAAATGGGTTTTACAGGTTCCAATATGCTCTCTTTTTTATAGGCACAAACTCTCTATGGTGAAATCAGTCATGATGTTCACCTATACTATGATTTTACGGATAAGAGAGATTATATTTCAGTTTAGGGATTTTACGTTTGGGTTATCAAAATTTTTTTTTTTTCATCTGGGGTATATTGCAATTTGATTTTTTCAAAATGTATCACTGAATTTTGATTTCGTTCTCAATCAGTTTATTCGACCTTAGATATTTCGGCCAAAAACCAACCAACCCATAAATTTTTTTGGCTAGTGAACTTTCATGTGAGTTATGTGCAGAAGACATTAAAAAAAGTCAAGACAAATAATACATTTCAACTAATTGGTGTCTCCTAGAAAATTTACGTCCCTTCCATCTTTTATAATTTCGTGAACAATTTGCGCGAAGAGCATGATGTTTGACGAGATGAATTTTATTTGCTCCTGTCAGGGGCATCACCATTGTATATAATTGGCTTATCCATTTGAAACACAATTTGGCAATTGGGTCGATCTTGGTAATTTTTCAACATGTGGGTGACATGCAACTCTTGATAGTCCTTACGTGCATGCTTAGTTCGTGTTTTGAATGGATCGATAGGTAAGATCATTTATCACGTATCAAAAAGTATCTCATACATCAGACACATCTCGAATCATTAACCAAAGTTTAACTTGTTTTTTTTATCGAAAAAATTTAACTTGCTTAAACATTTGAAAACGTGGTGCCCACATGCTCTATTTCATCGGCAGATTGAGATGCAACTTATTCCCTCTTTTTTCCTCCAAATGTCTATATGATTTGGCTCTCTAGACTCCATTTAAGATGCCAATCGAGTTAATCATATTCCAAAAGTCCATTTGCGAACCCTCAACCGCGATAATCTTTTTTTTTTTAAGAAATGCTAAAGGGCATTGCTCGAGAGTTCTCAAGCTTGGGGCGGGTTAAGTGAAGATGTACTAAGACTAAATTACAAAATTAATATATTAAGTCACCCGACAGGTTCTCGTCGCGCAATATTTAATGCATGTAAGCTAAATGAGTCTACCCAGAAATATTTTGTTCTTTCTTTGTGAAAAGATAATAAGTAAATGATTGTTTGCATGTATGGCAGCTCGTAAATAATTCTTGCTTGGAGCCAGATTGAGCTGAAATTTTAATTGAAGGTTGATGTCCATATAACTAAGGACGGGAAAAGTATCAAAAAAGTTCTAAACCTATTGCATTGATGCCACTTGAGCTCTAAACCTTTTTTTTATACCAATTTGTTATAAATTTTTTGATATAGTGTCAATTCAATCCTTCAGTTAATTTTGGCCGGATTTTGTTGACGTGGATGCCGACCGGCCTACATGACAACGCTGGAGCTGAAGTAGATAATTTTTATTAATATTTTAATGTTTTTTTTATGTTTTAATTTTTTTGTTTCTTTTCTTTTTTTTCTACCTTCCTTCCTTCTCCCTTAGCGATGACCGACCACCGGCCATAGGCGATGGCCAGGCGGGTTGCTCTCGCCTAGGTGAGGACCGGCCGAGCTGCCCTCGCCTAGGCGAGGATCACCGTCGGTCGATCAGGCGAGGCTCGGCATGGCTTGGGAGAGCCCCGGCGAGGGCCAGCCTCACCAAATCTGGCCTAGCCTGCGCGAGGGCAAGCCCTAGTGAGGGTTCCCCTTGCCAGATTTGGCGAGGCCGGCCCTCGCCTAGGCTATGGCGAGCCTCGCCGTCGCTTGGCTAGGTGAGGCTCGGCATGGCCTAGGCGAGGGCAACCTCCCCTGCCATCGCCTGTGGTCGGTGACCAGTCACCGGCAAAGGGGGAAGGGAGGAAGAAAGAAAAAAAATCATAAAAAATAATTTAAAAAAATATTAAAATATCATTAAAAATTGTTTGCGTCAGTGCCAATCGGCGTCCACGTCAACAAAATCCGGCCAAAATTAGTTAGAATGACTGAATTTACACTATTTCAAAAGGTTTATGACTAAATTGGCATCAAAAAAAGATTTAAGACTTAATTGGCACAAATGTAATATGTTTAAGACTTTTTTTACGCTCTTCCCAACTAAGGACACATCCAACATTCTGTCGACATATCATTGCACAAATACATACCACCGGTACAAAACATGTTTTGTCTCTTTCTTCCTCCTATAAAGCAAACAAGTACTGCTAGCACCGAACGTATAAATTTGAGCTCCTTTGTGGTATGTGAGCGATTGAATCAATTGATACCCACGTGGACCTTTATGCACACCATATATAGGGAACTTTTGGATTTGGCGTCCACCATCAAGTTCATTAAAACATCCTAAAAATTTCATGATTCTTATAATACTAAAATCTAAATTGGTCAATGATCTTATAATACTAAATCTAGATTGGTCATTCCATGCATTTGAGTGGCTAGTTTTATTGGCCCTGGTCAGTCACTTTCTCTAAAATCACTCCCCGAAAACACATACAATATAATCGGATTCTCTTCATTCTTAGGCACAAACGTAATGCATGTACTACAGGCTTGTCTAATCTAAGACAAAAGTCACTCTCATCTCACTTTCTCTTTCCAAATGTACCCGTGTCGATCTCTTGAATATCACTGGGAAATGTTTGATAGTGTAGACTGTGAGATTAAGCACGCGTGCGCGCGAAGACTAATATTGTTGAATGAAAAATATGTGTTGGACTCGTCCGCATCCGGTGCATGTAACATTAGCTTCGCATATTTCAAACTAGGAATTGTATTGACAATAGGTATAGAGAGATGGCCATAATACTGGCTAGAAGAATAGCACGAGAGAGAGCAAAATTAGCAAGAGAGAGTAATGGTAGAAGCTACATAAAAGAATGGAGCTATAAATGTTTATCGAACCAGCAAGATGTATGAGAAAGCAAATCCGACTCAAGACGCATCGCGTTCTTGAAGATATCATCAAGAGATTGTAATCAACATCATGCTCTTGAATTCCTCAAAATCGAGCCTCCCATCGCTGTTAGTATCATACGCGCGAATCATGTTGTTGCAATCTCTCCCACTTCTCTCGTCCCATAACCCTAGTCTCGAGAGGACGCTCTGGAGCTCCTCGCAAGAAATGAAGCCGTCGTCATTCAAATCGAACACTTTAAATGCCTCAGCAAGGTAGGTCTCTTGATCGCCGTCTCCTTCATTGCCCTCCGGCGATTCTAATCCGCCACTCCTCGTGGTTCCTCCCAACGATAGAGAGTCGTAAAAGTGTAAGAACTCGTCAAAGTTGAGGCTCGGTTTCCCTATAGATGATTCGAGCTCGTCCACGCTGTGATGGACACAGATCTTCTCGAGCAGCCAATTGAGCTCCTCGAGGCTCACCTGGCCATCGCCGTTCCTGTCGAGGTTCTCGAAAATCCGACGCAAGTCTCCGGTTCCGAGGCGGCACATCGTATGCAATGGCGGATACGTATGTGTAGACCGGGGAAACTAATGAAGAAATATATGCAGATGCCGATGGCGCCGGTGGGAGGAGGACAATTCGAATTCAGAGCCTGCTTGGTGGAGCTTCCTTCTACTTATGTAATGCATTGCGTCGTACGGAGCTTTACGTACGCGTGTGGCATGACTTTGAAGAATCTTGTAGTTTCTAGGGTTTCGTGGAAGTCGGGAAGAAGCATCGTGGAAGAACGGCATACGAAAGCCCAATTGATATTTTCTTGAGTTGGAATGTTCTTGACTTTAGCTTGAGAAGATAATAGTAACGTTACCATGTTTTTGGGTCTTTTTCTTTCTTGGGTCTTCGCCCGCTATTATTAATGTATACTATTGTTGTTCTCTAATTTGATCAATCACGCCATCTATCTTCCGAGACGATTCTTGGAAAGAAGACTCGTCCTTCGTAGCCAGTTAGCCACGCTTTTGACTTTGAAAAACGTGATCCAAGCCACGGGTCTAAGGTCTAGAACTAATCCAAGTAAATTCTGCCGTGCTCCTTCCTGTTGTTCTGATTGGTTTCGTGGGTCTCGCCCGCGTCTCTGCCGGGTTCGTTCTTTCCATGGATTGGACTGTTGATCGGCACGTTGGTTAGGACAAAGCAGGAATCGAATTATGTAGTAATGAATTAATGGTCTTTGGGACTTGTTGCGTGCAAATGTGGTCGGGGAATGTTGGGAATCTCTTTGTTTTCTTTGTTTTGTACATATGGCGCGCGTATTTGAGACGTGGGAAGACGGGATTCACACGCGTCGCTCTCGGTCGATATGTGTGGGGGAGATTGGTTGCGTTGAGATTTCAGCCAATTTGTGATTGCAACATCCCCAAGCAATAATCTTTGAACATGACTAGACCTGTTAAACAGGTGGGTCGGGTCGGATTTGAGTCGGGTAATAAATGATCCGACCTAAATTGACCCATTAACTCGTTTATGATCAATTTATTCATAGTGTAAATATCCCGACCCATACCCGACCCGACCCGACCCAAATCCAACCCATACCCGACCCGACCCATATTGCTAAAATATTTTTATATTTAACCTAATCCATGAATACTTGTTTCTTATGATTTTTTTTTAAAAATTATACTGCTAAAAAATTTTATGCAATACAAAGCTAGTGAAATTTTTTTATAATTTTTTTTAAAATTGAGGTTCTGTTTGTTTTACGAAAAATGCGACATTTCTAGAAAATATTTTCCATAAAGTCATTATCAAAGAAAAAAAAATTTAAATATTTTTTTATTTTTTAAATCGAATTTTTAATTATTTTTTATTTTTCTTTTTCCTTTATTTTTGGCCGATCGCCGGCCGCCGTGCCGGCAACCGACCACAGGCGAGGACGAGCTCGCCGGAGGCCGGCGAAGCTCGTTCTCGCTGATCTGGCAAGGCCGAGGCCTCGCCGGCCTCAAGCGAGGGGGATCGGCCGAGCCTCGAGGTCGCCGGAATCGGGCGAGCTCGAGGCTTGCCAAATCGGCGAGGCTCTAGCCTCGCCTGAGGTCGGCGAGCTCGAGCTTCGCTGGCCTCCAGCGAGGTCATCCTGCCCCGGTGGCCGGTCGCCGTGGCCGACCATCAGCCGAAAAAAAAAAGAAAAAGAAAAAAGAGAAAAGAAAAAGAGAAAAAATAAAAATAATTAAATTTCGATTTTTTTAAACATTTTTGTAAAGATGGAGAGAGTGTGTGGATGGGTCTAGTGGGTGGGTTGGATATAGGTTCCAAACTCAACCCATTTAAACCTATTTATCTTTAAGTTTTAAAATTTAAAGCCCATTTAAGGTTAACTCTTTAAAATTAAAATGACCCATATATGACCCATTTATTTTTAAATGGGTCATATATCGGTTTAAGACCCATTTTGACACCTCTAATCATGACCGATGCTTAATCAAATTTCATTTAGCTTTTGCACTTTAAATAATGATACTGCTAACATCACCCGTAGCCCCTCTCTCTCTCTCTCTCTCTCTCTCTCTCTCTCTCTCTCTCTCTCTCTCTCTCTCTCTCTCTCTCTCTCTCTCTCCATGTGTTTGAAAGAGTATCTACTGCTTTTGGACTGATGAAGTTAATAAACCTTTCTCTTAAGCCCAACAATTTTCATATTATTCAAACTCTATGGAGAAAATTGCATCGCAAGTCCTAAATTTTATGTATCGAATGTAAAAGGTCCTAACCCTTTTAATTGATCCAGTCAAATTATATATTTTCACAGAAAAATGTAATCGAATTCTAAAACTTTCAATGATTCAATTGAATCCTAAATATTTATTGAAAAAATTCAATTAAGGCTCAAAATTTATGTTGAAAAGTGCATATTTAGGGACATCGCAAGCAACTTCTAAGCTGCACCTAGGCCATTTAAGGCATTCTTCCTCGAAAGGACTTGATTATACTTTTTAAAAAAGGTTTAGTAATTAATTGAGCCAACCGAAAAGTTTAGGACTTCACTGTAATGCGCACATAAGGTTAAAAACTTCCTATACACTTTCGGTAAAGAAACTAAAACTTTTTAATATTCAGTACTTACATTTTTTGGCACTTGTTTTTCTATTTTATCAAACGAGCCCAAGGTAACCCCTTCCTTGGTTATCCGATCAAGTGATTTTTTTGAGTCGATTGAATTTTCTAAGTCAATATTCGTTAAATTAAGCAAACAAGCTTATAACAAGCTTAATCTCATTAAATGGATGAACTTTCAAATTTATAGCCTTGATTGGGTTATCAACAAGCCCTAAGTGATGTCACTTAAGTTGGTACAAGGAGTTGGAATTATTGAATCTTTAAATATCAATAAGAATTTGTCACCTCACTTAGAGCTCGTATGATAAAACTATAAATAAGTGTTGAAAATTTAAGCACTTACTTTCAAGGGATAATACCATAAAAAAAAAATCTCAAATTGATACATCAGTAACAAATTTATCCTTCGTTAGTTTCAGTTAAATTTTATCGTCAAATTGCTAAGTTTGATGACACGTGACAGTTGACTGGTGTACCAGTTTGTGGTTTTACCTCCTTTTGTCACAAGTAATCCAATTTAACGGAAAACGGAGGGTAAATTTGTCACATATATAATAGTTTGGGGTTTTTGGTAGTCAAACAATTAGTTTTGAGTGAATTTATCACGAGTTTACCACTTTAGGTTTTTGGTGATCAAAAAATTAATTTGATGTGAATTTATCACATGTGTAATTGTTTGAGATTTTTCGTGATATTAACTTTTATTTCTAACCCATTGTCGAAGACGTGCATTCTCTCGAGACATCTCCATAAGCGCAGATTTTCACTAATGTGCTTATTTAGCATACGTAAGACGAGAAATCGTCTTATTCGGTAATAATATTTCGATAGTTAAGACTTGCGCGATCCCAATTATAGAAAATAATATATATTATTTGCCTCCATAACAATTATTAAGAGATCAAATACTAAAGCTGGTCATTTTTCAAGGAGCTAATTTCTTTTGTTAGTTATGCCCATAATCATTGATTTGAGAATTTTCATTTATTATTGGTGCCCTCGTAAGTTCGTATAAACGGGGTTCTAATTTGTGGGGGCGAATTTCCACACCGGCACCGATCACGAAGCCGAAACGGCGAGCAAGGCTGTCGTTTTGGTTATACGTTGCTTTCCCTATATTTTCGACTCTCTCTCTCTCTTTCTCCCTCGAGATTTGCTAGATCGCCGCCGTCTCTTCGTCGGTCGGCGTAGAACATCGTACTGTCGTGTCCGGCTTGCCGCCGCGTCACGTTCGCCGGACATAGCCCCGGAGCCCTTCGGTTCCGTAGAGGACAGGGCACGGCCTTCGCGTTCGCCTGTTCGTCTCCTCGCGTGCCGCGGGACTCCTCTTGTACCGAGAGAAGAGATCGTCCGGTTTCGGTCGGGTTGAGAAGGGTCCCTTCGGTTCGTCTTCCCTTTTCGTTCTCCTGTTTAAGACCCACTAAAGGAAGCGCCCGAGTTCTTGGAAATTCCTGATGGGCTGTGTTCTCTGTTTTCTCTTGCTTGAATTTCTTGTTAAATTCGGTTTGTCTGGCCCTCTTTTCATAGCGACTCGCGACTCGGAACATGTTTTTTTCTTCGCCTTTTTCCAGTTTGTAGCTGATGCTCTGCGCAAGTTTTGATTTTGGACTGAACGGAATGATTAGATGGAAGAAATTTCTCGTGCCGCATTGTTGAAATATCTGCAATGCTGTTGTTTTGGTGTCTTTGGTTTAAGAAAGTGCTGATTTTTTTGGCCCAGAGTATCCCTAATTTTTTGGAATCTAGTCTTGTTTGGTCTTAATGTGGCATATAAGCACGTCCATGCGCATTCTTATGTAGTTCCCTCTCCTTTATTGGCATCTTGCAAGCAGGGTTTGCATATGGGCTGTACGGAAGTGGGTGCCTCTATGAAGGAGATTCTTCATGTAGTGGTAAAGCGAGAAATTTTGGAGCTGTTTTTTGATAGTTAAAATGGGTGTGACGTGCATGGAGGTCGACACTGATAGAGAAAAGCAACTGGAAAGGCGACGGAAGAGACGGTGCTTGCGTGACCCCATTGTAATGCCAACTTCTTTACAGAATGGTGCTCCTGAGAGAGCTCCACAAAGAACTGATAGGGTCGACTTCTTCGGAGACGAGGAATATGTGAATTTCTTGAAACGTTATCACGACAATTCTGGTTTCGTGCCTTCGGAAGCTTATAGATGTGGCAGCAGTAGTGGTAGCGATGATTTATTGGATCCACAGTATAAGATTTTCTTTGAAAGTCTGAGAGTAACCGGGAAGTCATACGAGCTTGAGGTACAAGTAGACATTGGAACCAGTATACTCCTCAAGTATAACATTGAAGACCAGCCATATGAAGGATTAATCTTTGAAGATTTGAAGAGTCGAACATTGAATAATACTGCAGATACGGTGAGAAGGTTGAGGAATGCTGTGGGAAGAGGAAAGGACAAAGTTGCTGCTCCGATGAGGAAAGAAAATGAGAAGGAAAGAAGAATCCCGAGAAATGTTTCCGGAAGGGAGAAGGAGAGCCTGCAAATTAGCAAAGCTGCTGCAACAAGCAAAGGAATTTGCAACTTGGATATAGAAGCCCGACCTGCAAATCTTGGTTCTAATCAGGCAACTAGACAGTCCCCTGGGGTATTGCGTCCCGAGGTTCGACAAGCACCTGAGCATGAGGAGGAGACATGCGATGAAAGCTACCTAGCCCTTCTGAATGGTGCAAAAGATGATGGTAACATTCTTGAATTTACATTTGATAATGGTAAACAAACTACCAAAGCTGCTACAACGAGCAAGGGAAATTGCAACTTGGATAAAAGAAAGAGAGAAGCCCAACCCACAAATCTTGGTTCTGATCGGGCCATTAGATGGTCCCCTAGGGTATCGCCTCCAGAGGTTCGACAAGCACCCGAGCATGAGGGGGAGACATGTGATGACAGCTACCAAGCCCTTCTGAATGGTGTAAATAAGGATGGTAACATTCTTGAATTTACATCTGATGATGGTAAACAAACTACTAAAGCTGCTGCAACGAGCAAAAGAAATTGCAACTTGGATAAAAGAAATATAGAAGCCCGACCCGCAATTCTTGGTTCTACTCGGGCCATTAGACGGTCCCCTAGGATATTGCATCCAGAGGTTCGACAAGCACCCGAGCATGAGGAGGAGACATGGGATGAAAGCTACCTAGCCTTTCTGCATTGTGCAAAAGAGGATGGTAGCATTCTTGAATTTAGATCTGATAATGGTAAACTAATTAGATATGAGGAGGAGGATGATGAGGAAAGTTCATGTGAAGTGGAAATGCTTGCTGGAGAAGATATATCTAAATGTGAAGAATTTGTGACTATGAATTTATCTGAAGATCCGGTATGTACCAGCTCTTTTCCTGCTATTATGTGATTAGTTTCATATGGCTCCTAAATCTCAATAATGATATTTGCTGAAATATTTTTCTGCTCCCCACAAAAAAAAAAAAAATAGATAACCATTGACAGTAAGCACTTTGCTGATGATCCTGGAAGCAGCAGCGGTACCGTATTCAGGAAGAAACTCATGGGTGTACTTCAAATGCCCTATGATGTGAAGGAGCATGAAGACCTTTCCCGAAGAGTAAGACATAAAAGGCAAAAGACGGTGGAAAAAAGTCTGCGTCAAGGACGGGATTTCACCTCTTCATTGGGGGAGCGCTGCAAATCATATCTTGAGCTGTACAAGGGTAAGATCATATATGCTACTCTCTTCCCCAATTAGTCTCTTTTTTTTTTTTATCACGATACTGTTATTCAATACTAGTTATTTTCCTATGACCAAATGCTTTTTTAGTTAAGAATTTGGCAGAGATGCGCCAATCCATGCACTGCCTTTTGAGAGATATAGAATTAAGTGAATCGTTGGTGTATCAAACCGTGCAAAATTTAATGACAGTATCAACAGGATCTAGGACTTCATATATGTATTGTATCTTTGCATTATTGCAAAGTACAGAACCATCTAAGGAGAGAAAAGCTTGACTCTCTTCATTGAGAAGTTCTCCATGTATTTCCTCCCTCCAAAATAACTGAAAGATACAACAGGTTACTGAAAAAATGCATTCTGTATCTATCACTTGCATGAACCATGTACAGGGAAGTGGTGGCATTATGCAGCAAAACATCTTATAATCAACATCACATGTTACCTATTTTCTTTTTTTTCCTTTTTCGATCATGATTACCTTTCTATTAGCCAAAAGAGCAATTCTTGTGGGGACTGCTGATACCATCATTCATACTGGAGAATCTTACGAGATATTTAGCACCACTTTTCCCACATGACTATGTTGTCCTATAGCTGTAATCCGGTGAATAAGAACCATCAAGTTGTCTCTCTTTTTCTCTTTCAATGGATCTCTTCTGAGATGAAAAATTAGCCCTTGGATTTAAGAGAATCAGACAAGACAAGGTGTTTATTCTTGCACAGTAGAAGTGGGAAGACACTGAAAGCGGGGGGATACTGCTTATTGTTTTTAACGTCTGTGGACTGGGAAAGGTTGTGAATAAACTCATACAGCCACTGAGGATGAGACCATCTGTGATTCTTCGCATTCGGATGCTGTGTTCACCTTATTCAGTCTTGAGTTTCTTCCCATTATCTCCACTACCAATTCAAGGATACATATTGGCTGGCTGGAAATCTTCATGTCTGTACTTTTCGAATTTTTTTCTCGCATATTTGCTTAGGAGGTTTATTTAGGTTTCCTTACCACAAAACTTTAGTCTTTGGTCTTTTGTTTAACTTGAGGTTATTTTTTAATGCATTTGACATATATGAAATGGTATGCTCCTTTTGTTCTTTCTGTTTAATTTTGTGAGAGAAGACTTATGAAGGTTGGATGTTTTCTCTATTGTTAATGGTGTGTGAGAGAGCAAAATGAGAATGAGAGGTGAAAAGTTGAATATAATTTGATACTCAAGGCCTTGATTTTTATTGTCATCTTTTTTGCAGATTTTGCAAAAGAACTCAAGTCGGTTCGAGGTGATCGTCACCGGAATTTGAATCTCTTACGTGGATTTTTCTTTTGGTTGGAGGTGAGTTTCATGTGTTGAATTGGCCTTTTTGGTCCAATTTGTTCTAAATCTAATTCTAATTCACTTTACAGTTATTCTCAGAGATAGGGGGAGAGGGAGAGGGAGAGGGAGAGGGAGAAGGACGGGGATGGGGAGAGAGAGAGAAGCTGATTGTTTGGCTATCAGAAAGGTTAATATCAATCTTTGAGCACAATATAGTTTTCCGAGAATCATGAGTTGAACTGCAAAAGATAAGCTCCCATGACAAGAAGCAGGGCTGGTGTAATTCATAGATAAGTAAACACTTTCACTGGGTATATTTGAAATGGTCAACAAAGTTGGCGTGCTAAGTTGTGAGGTAGATTGCATGGAGGCATATAGGCCACATTTGATGCGCATCATGAGGCCGCCACATTACTTGGTATACCATATTTGCAATTGTCCATTATTCCTTACAAGTTGTTTAGTTGTGCATCGACCATCTGTGATCGGTTTGTGGTACACATACATATTTGGTCATGGTTGCTTGGAGAGGATGACGCATTGATAGTGGCTTTACACAGAACCCTAGCCCACTCATTTTCGTTGGTTTTGCAGTCTCTTATTTGGAATTAGCTGAGATGATAATTCCTAAACTAAATCCTTCTGGTCTCCTTTCTTAACAGAACGTACCCAAGGACGGAGCATTTAAGCCTTGGTTGGATCCAACTTGTTTGAAAGTGTTACCTACACAGGCAGTTAGGAGGGTCTAACGTGAATATTTCTCCGACCCCGACAAGAAAGCGTGCAAAACCTGGAAATGCTGCTGCAATGTTTATTCAGTATGTCGATGTCCTAATTCTTGTCAAGATTTTGGTAATACACATAGTGAATCTGATGGTTGTGCGTCACTCATCATCCCCAAGGTGGAATTTGGGGACTACATCAAGGAACATGCTTTTCTGTATTTCAGTCACTTGCAAATGCAAGCGGATCTTTTTGTACTGCGAAAATCATGTTTATCGAAATGTGCAGCTCTCTGTGCTTGAATTCCAGACAAAATTTAGTTCGTCTACTTAGCACATTTTAATGCTTTTACCAAGAACTCCAACATTTTGCAAGACAAGCATGGGGCAAGCGCAATGACGCGTGAGTGAAAAGTAGTATTGGAAATTGATTGAAAGCATGCCTCTTTCTGCTTAGAAAGCGGGTTCGAAGCAACACCTGCATGCTTGGCTTTGGTTCAACAATCTGAAGAAACCACGCAAGTCATGCACTTTTTGACTGAAATGTGTAGTACATACAAAATTGAAGGGCATGCCATCAATAAGCAGGACATGACCAATCTGTCAAATCGCATGTTTCAGTTCGTTTTAATCATCATAAGGTCGTTTTGCAAGTTGGGCACTTGAAATCTTAGATTTGGACCAAACTTTGTTGTCCCGTGAAATCTTTTGTTTGTCCAAATTTTTTTGTCTCCTCTCAGTCAGAGAAATGGAGGATCGGTCATCATGTCCTTCAGTTCGTCAAATCTTATTCCACGCGCACGCAAAAGCGTCTTCTTTTCTTATTCTTCAACCGTGTAATTGAAGGTGATTGTATCGTATACGAAAGTAAGAGAATTATATAAGAATCATGTTAATAGAAACTCTTAAAGGCATTTCTCCGTGTTTATTTAGAATAATTCAACTTTAAACTATTAATCACAAAAATGACGAACCCAATTAGTGCATTGCGAACTGCACAATTTCGTTGATTGATTACTTTTTATTTTTTTTTGGTTTGTAGATTGATTACTTAAATGGCCCTAAAATATTTGTTTAACAAAACCGATGAGTTATTATAGGCTATAAATCGATAAGGACGAGCAATTTGCTTTGTTAGAAACTTAGAAACGTGTAGATGTCGGTTGCTCCTCCCTAAGAGGCTATAACTTCTAGGACTATCAAAAGTCACGTGACAAAATACTAGTGAGAATTTACAGCATGACCCCCGCATCTAAATCTTAAAAGTGGCTCATGAATCACAAGGCATTATCAGGCGTAGAATTCTTATCTTAATCGATGACATGAGATGGCTCTGATACCATTAAGGGATTATGGTACGGACTAATGGTAATCTGAGATAGGTATGCTATTCCAAGAACACGGTCATTCTCTTAGGCTTCAAAAAGGATCGCCTTTTTGCCTCTAAGTACCATTAATCTATACTACAAGACACCCATGCCTCAGAAACTTTTCTGGTCCGCAGAATACACAGATTAACAAGTCGTACTTGTGGAACCAACTATTCTTGGACTGAAAAGATAATTCTAACCAGTGGGAATTTGCATTTTTTTGCTCCAACTATTTTTTGACTTTGCTCTGCTCCTGGAAAGCTGACTTGACTAAGCAGAATTCATTGTAATAGGGAAAACAAAATCATAAAAGGTAAAACCAAAACGCCAACTTCTATATCACTGAGCACCAAAAATGGGCCACTTGCTATATAACAATTTCATTGTTCTGTTAACATAATATTATTTTCTTGTATACACACATGTACACTACCGTATAACCCCAGAAAGCAACCAGAAAATTTCTATAGGAAAAGGGAAATGGGGCGAAAAGAAGAAAACAAAAGCTTCAAATCCTAGGAGGAGGAGAAAAAATATGTTGTTGAAGTCATCCTCTGCTTAATCATCAAATCTGCGCTCACTCAGATGAAATTCCCGGATCAGCATAGAAGTCTCACCACAAGCAAGAAATTGTCTCAAAAGTCATTCCTTGCCACCATGAATATTAGTCGTAGTGAGAAGTTCAGAAGATGAGTAAACTTGCTCAAACACTTGATCCAAGGACGAGGGGTAAGAGAGAGCTACCCAGTCTGGAGGGGATTACATTGCCGGCATCCTGTCCATGATGCGTATTGGCTTAATTTGCTCATCCAGATCATCCAATCGTACATCCAAAGGATCGATTTCATCAAATATCATGGGGTCATCACTTTCTCTCTCTTCGTCATCACTAACATCAAGGCTGATATAATCAGAAAAGACAGTATTGTCATCATTATCTTCCACACGGACCCTTTCAGAAGCTGCTGTTCCTTGCTTAGATAATCTGATTGTCATGGACCCAAAGTAACGACCTAAACTGCTCTTTTCACCTGATCGTTTTCTTTTCTTTCCCTTAATACGGCCTTTCGGGTGGTGAAGCTTGCATTTGGATCCTTGCTGACATCTGCCAGTTGCTTCAAAAGTTGGGCATATGTAGCTGTGCTTCTTCCGACACTGGGAGAGCAGATGGATGCATTTCATTTTCTTCATGCTACCATTTTGAGAATTTACGTTTGGAGGAAGGGAAAATTTCTTTATCATCTTTTTTTCTCTCCTTGTCTAACAGAGGGGAGGGAAGAAGATTTTGGCTAGTTTATAAAAAGTGGTGGTTCTTAAAGATTAATGCAATACCATTACGCTGTTGTTGAACTTAAAGAAGAAAGGGAAAGTAATCACAAAAGACAAAGCCTACTGAAGCAACCAACAAGAATCAGAAATCATGAATTGGCTCTAAAAAGCTCATAACTTTCAGTTTGATTTGCAAAGCCCAATTTATAAGTCAAATGAACTCGTTTAACTTTCTGCCATGAAATCTCATCACATATCCATCACATGAAGCAAATATTCAAAAATGGCATGCAGAAAGTGCTATTATCTCTACTAACTTTTGCAGACAGGCGAACATTGGAAGATAATTTGAATGTTTTTCTCTAGCACAAAGTAGCGAGTCCAACTGTCAAGTGAAGAATTTGGTTGGCTTAAAAGAAGAGTGTACTGTACAGGGAAACGATGCATGCATGGGCATATGCACAGAAAGGTGCAAGTGCATAGTGCGTGCTGGTGAAAATATGTGAAAATTTCACAATCATAAGACTGGGGAATAGAAGCTTCGAGAAAGAAAAGCAGTACCTCATTCCCGTCAGGACAATAGCCCCTAAGAAATGCTTGGCATGTAGGGTAATTCTGATTGACATTCACATGCCTATAGGGACAATTTTTGTTTGTGCACAAACCTGCCAGTTGTCATAAAGTGTTTGTTTAATCTATAAGCAAGAAATACTCAACCCGCTAAATTTAAAAAGGGAGACAATATGGAAGTACCTTGCAGAAAATAAGAGCAATCTGGCATTCTTTCAGGAATGACCTGCATAAAAAAAGGGTAAATCAGTGACAAATCAAGCATGGGACTCTTTGATGTTGGACCACCAAATTTCAGCAAACAGGATAGTAGTAAACCTCATGAGTCAACTTGCAATCCTTATTTGAACATGACCCGTTTATAAATTTTGTGCAAACTGCAATTTTGGAGGGATCATGAATATAGGGACATTTTCCATCATCCTTGTTGCATTTTCCGAATCTGGTAAAAAACTGACAGTATTTCCGCTTTTTAGTCAACCGCAATCTGGCAGTATGCAAACTCCACCGCACTTTCTCACTTGCCAAAAGCCGAGTTCGTTTCTTTGGATCTCGAATAAGCTGGTTCCCGTTTCCAATCCTTACATACCTGCCAACAATTATGAGCATCTACAAAAATACCTCTGGCACTACAGCGAAAGTTAAACCTACTGTAATACAACTCTTCAACTAAAATCACCAACTTAGCAATTAGGGCATTTGTGCAACCAAAAGAAGGGGTAACATACTCATCGTTGCCAATCACTAATCTCCGCGGAACATATGATTTCCTAGTATCATCTTTTGCTTGGGAAACAGAAGAGTAAGCCGATTCATCATCTGTAATAAGAAGCGAAATCAATGCATAAATAGATAACAACTCCCGCTTTAATGATATTAATAAGGCAAATGAAAAACAAAATAAGGCCGCCCCTAATGTGTCACTCAACTTGGCACCCACCTTTGAATTAATGAAATAAGCAATGAACTAAAAAGGCTCGAGATCTTTATCTCTGGTGAATGCTCAAGCAAGGTTGCAACCATAACATGAAAGATTACTAAAAATAAACAGTTCCCACAAGAAAGAAACGATAATTCTACAAATTCTGGATAAAAACTCCGTGTTTCCAGCAAGCCACTGCTACATCCGTTTCATTAGGGATTGATCATCTTTTCACGATAGCATGACAAAAGGGATCAATGGCATGAAGAAACTCACATGATCTATCCGCCACAATAGAAGTACCTTGATGTCCTAAATTCAGAGATAGAAGTAAGATAAAAGATCTGCTATCCAAAAGCAGATGAGGACCCAAGAGAATTATGTTTTTTTGCATCTTTTCAAACATAAGCTCAAGCCATAATTATCTTTACTGTGCTTCATCAGACAGGTGAGATACATAGAGCACTGAAGCCTACATAATAATATCATAATCAGCTTTAAGAAAGTTCGTCCTCTCCTTCCTAAGATATGAATCCAAGAAAAAAAGTTCGCTAGCTTCACTATATCGCTGTTACGGATTCTCAGACACAATAAAAAAAAAATTACATCAAAAAGACAATTCATAAACTCAACTGACATAAGCTCTAACGCTATTTCACATAGTTAACATTACTGCAAGTAATTGGGGAAGTCCTGACTTCTTTTTGAACGTTCAATGCAGATGCTCCTGCAATGTATTTCTTTTCTAATGAAGTCCAGCCAGAAGAACTTTACATAGTTTTTCCTAATAGAAAGGCAAAACCCACTCAGACATTCAAAAATTAAGGACGCTAAGGTCTCTGACCATCCAAGCACTGCATCATGACCAACTTTGAGTATTAATATTACAGGGGAGAAATACATAATCTGCTAGCAGCAACTGTTTCCGTCGAGAGGGATGCCATTACCATAGCATTTCTAAATGCAGAAAGCAATTATTTGGGAATCTGAGGCAGCAAAGTATCAACAGAACAATCTAAACCCAGAAAGTCAAAAGATATACCATATGAGCCAGAGATATCAAAATTCAAGACACTTTCAGTCAAACCTCTTTCCAAAAGCACATTTGCCATAATGGATATAAAAGTGGATTCATTCTCTGTAAAACGGACTTAGGCTTGGTTTCCCTACTGGTGTCTATTTCATCAGAAAAGGTTCTCACTTAACTTACCCAAAAGAACAAGGAACTTATGGTCACATTTCCAACTTATGAAAAGAAACATGTTCAACAGGTACCGAGAACAGATCATTAAAATAAAGCAAAAAATGGGAACCTGAAATTCTCTGTAGTGTCCTTTTTGAAGCATCCATTTTGTATCGAACAGAACCAATCCGGAATACACGCTCTCCCGCTCCTGCAATATCATCTATTCTACATCAGACCAGAAATAAGGAAATTTCGGCCAACAAACATCCATAATTGTATCTGGAACCAGGGAATCATCTTCGCATAAGGATTACAAATTGTGCTAATCAATTCCATATTGTAATCTGACTTACGTGATGAACGAAATTTGCTTTTTGTTCTGGAGGACACTGGTAAACTACCATTCTGTTCTTTTTTCTCTCTCTCAGCCGCAACAACAGCTCGTGTTGCATCCTGTGTTAAGAGACGAGAGATTTTGTGTTATAACCTCACAATTCTAGAGGAAATTGACCAAACTGCAACATGGAAGGAATAACTGACCTCATTAGCTTTCTTTGATTGCCTTTCAATGGACTTCGACCACTTTAAACTTGCCCCACCAACACTTAGCACCTTAGATTTTCTAAGTGATAACCCATGAGCTGACCTAACATAGACAGTATCCCTCTTCCTCAACAGCATTAATCTTCTACTGAAAGAACAATCAACGAGTGCAGTTGTAAATGTAGTTATGATTAAACTGAGCTAAAAACGTATAACAAAACATGAATGCCAGTGAACCTGATTGCAGATGAAGATTTATCATCCAGACTGCAAGTTGTCTGCATATATCTACGCCAGTATGTTGCTCTTTTCCAAGGGAACAGCTGTGGAAGGACCTTTTGGTAACATTTTTGATGATGCAATGGATCTCTGTAACTTTTCGACAGCTTTGAACCCCACAGAGTCCACACTAGAAAAAATTTTGAAGGTTCAAATGACTTAAATCTAACTGCACTTTATATTTACGTCTCCATATAAATGTATGTATGTGTAGATGCTAGCTTGAATAACACCACAAACTTTGCAATAGTAGCTAAAACAGCCAGTCATAGCATAAGCACCTTCTGTGGTAATTTTAATAGCTAAGGTCGAGTATTCCTGATAAATATCGGCCAAGCCAAAATAATAACTAGATGAAAATATCCGACAATTATCTGAAATAATATAAGACAGTTAATCTAAGTCAAGCTCAAAGAACTGCACCATTAATTAAAATGAAAACAAAAGATTAAGAAACGGGGTGAATGAAAGTAAGAGAAAGCAAGAAAAATAGTGTCGAAGAAAAGCAAAATGCAACAAAAGCATGCATCCAGGGGGAAACACCCACATCTAAATGCAATTTTAGATCTTCCACATGAATGATAGCCAGAAGACATGTAATGAGTGAAAATGTGGGACAACTGTGACACATCATCCAGCAATTCTTTCAAATGACACTGAAGTTCACAAGCGTAATGCACAATTAAGACAGTTAAACTGTAGGTACATTAATATTATGATAGTGTGCCCTAATAGCCAACTCCATTTAGAACAAAGGAGTTTATCTATGAATGCTCCAATCTTTCAACCAATGCATCGTTTCGAATAGGTAAACCAAATGCTCTCAAGAGCTTGTTAATAGGATTTAGTAGGACCCGTACCTAAGTGCCTTAATGAAAGAATAAGAATTACTGAACATCTTAACATTTTCAAAAAGAGAATAAGCCCCACTTACTGAAATGATTCAAGCCTCTAAAATGCTAGCACTTTACCATAGATATGCCTTTGAGGAAAAAAAACGAGGGCCTAAAGCAGATCAAAAGTGGCACATTTGGGGAAGCATCAATACTATGAACAAGGCACACTGAGATAAGAACACACTAAACATACCTTTAGAAGATAGTCCCCTGTTAAGTCTTCTTCCACATGAAACTGCCGGAGCCCCCTGCACCTCTGAATTTCGACTGTGTACAGGCAGGGCAGACATCTGCTTCATTATAGTGCCCATCGAAGTCCTTATAAGCTGATTTTTATTCCGTTTGAAGTAGCCATCAGAGGATAAGACTTGGGTCTTATGAACAATCTGGGTGGGCAGATCACATGATTCTGTTGTTGCAACCAACTGATTTGATTTGCGCTTCACGTATGTTATCTTCTTCAAACCTGATGTCGTCAAACTTTCATTGGGCAGTTCTTTCATTTGTTCCAACTTATTTGCCAAACAAAATTGGTCTTCACGAGTTTCAGAAATCTTCAATGCATCCTTGCTGGTGTCTAGCTGATCACTGCTTAATGTACAATCCACAGAATCTAATCTAATACCAAAGCAACCATCAAGTAAAGGTCCAACTGAGTTTAAAAATGTGCAGTCCTCTGAAGACATGGCAGTGTGATTGGGCAGATTATGACCACTTGGTAATAAAGATGTCTTTGGCTTCTCAAGAGAAGCACTCATTCCTCCCGTTCCTAACAGATCTACCTTGTGATTAAGATTATCAACTTTTCCAGTTCCTATGCTCCTCTTTAAGTCATCTTCACCAGATGAATTTATTCTGTCTGCAGCTGAGCTTGTAACATGACGGATCTGGGATTGGCAAGTATCTACACCTGGTTTTCTGACCAGACTATTACCTTTTCGGATATAAAGCTCCCCAGTATCTACTGTAAACTGCCTTTTGACAGCTACTATGCTAGAAACCGGCTTCTTTCCTGAGAGAGAAACTGATGAATTGCTTGGCCGATACCATGTATTTGATTTTGTGGTACCATTAGCAGAAGAGATCATCTTTGAAGTCTTGGAAGCAAAGGACGAACGACCTGGGAATGATCTCTGCATAACACGATTTGGTTGATTCCACATACCATATGGTTCTGCATTCTTCAGACTGTTTTCAGTCTTTTTCAAACCTTCTGATGACAAAATTACATCCTTCTCAGGGCTAATGCAATCAGTTTCCATTCTATGATCTGATATCCGACTGACTTTGGTACTATGCGAAGACAAAGTAAGGACAGATATCTCTGAACCTCGACCAACCATGAGGTTCTCTTTTTCTTGAGCATCCTTAACACCTAACCTTCCAGGAGGAATTTCGTCTATAGATGATTTCCACCTGGGAATCTGCGTTACTAAGTAATTAGATATATTTTCTGGAGAACTCATATCAGATATTGGATGAAGCACAGAATCTATTCCTTCATCATTGGAGTTAGAATTGTAGATTCCGTCACCATCGGCAGATGACGGCACATATGTTGACACGGAGGGTGATTCTTCCACTTCATGAATGTCACTATCAGTTTTCCTGACTGCAATGAGTGATCCTGATTCCTGAGTCAAAACATGGGCTCCTGAAGATCTGCAGTCAGCCATCTCACCCAACCCCATCACTTGCGCTTTTACAGAATGTAAATCCACTTTCTTTGCCCTATTTTTTTCTATATCGAGAACCCCATTAAGATGATCACTTGTGGCTTTAACTGGAATGTTATCTTTCTGGTTTTCCTCCATTATCGATTGACTGAGTGAAAACTCATTTCGGATGCTTGATGCCCCTACACCAAGCAATCCAGAATCAAAAACTGATTGCGGAAGTTGGACTGGGTCATGAACGGACCTATTTGCAGCAGACCTGACAGCATCCACAGATTTCATCGAAGAAATATCCTTTGCTATCCAACTCGGTGATGAATTATTACCATCCAGAGTATTCATAGGAGGTGTTGCAACCTCTACGTCAGGTTGTTTGAGACTGTTGCAAGCAGTTAATTGCATCTCTGAGCAAGATGCATGGCTATCAGCCAGCAGACCCATATCATTGCTCTGGTATGTCGCCAAATCAGAGAAACCAGGATGAGAAGAAGTAGTTCCTCTCTTTTTATAAGTAGATGGATTTCCATATTCATCAGCACCAATCCCCTTCTTACTTAAATCCTTTGAATCAGAAAGTTCATCTATCAATTCATTTCCATGTGAAACATCATGCCTATGTGAACCAGAGGGTAAGCCAGAGTCCAGACATCCAACACGAGAGGCTGTAGCTATTAGGAGCCCAAAATCCTTGACAGGCAGATTTATGCAGATGTCTAAAGCATCTGAAGGGCTACAGCATGAAATATTTACAGTCTCCCTGCAGGTTTCTGCTGTGTTTGAAGTCGGTAAATCTAGTTGAGAGACCCCATCTTGTCTAATGTCTATTACATTTGTGGTACGGTTTTTTAAAACTTCAACGGGAGACTCAGCTATCGATAAACTCCCTTTGCTGTCATGAATATCAAGTGACGCAGGGAGATCTACTGAAGATGATTGCCTCAAATCATGAAAAATGGTGCTATCCTTGAAGGTCGTGTTTTCATCTAAATTAGCAGAAGAAGTGGCAGGATTGCAGCCAGTACTGCTACCTGCAAATTTTGAGGAATTGCCTCCAGCTACTCGCAAATCTGATGCACTAACTTGATTATGATAAGAGTTACTGTCAGAAGCATCAGGAACTCTCAGACCTGAAGCAGCACTTGGATCTTGAGATCTAACTAGGAATTTATCAGAACTTGAGACAGTAATTTCCCTCCTGGAAGGGACAGTATTACCGGTAGAAACCCCATGAATGTTCATGTCCTTTAAACTTGACAAACTAGGAAGGCCATTGCCCAGCATATAAGATAGTCTGGCTGCATCATTCTCATGCATCGAACTGAACTTCTCTATACCAGTCTCAAAAGTATTTTTAGATGGCGGTGCAGGAATATTCTCCAAGGAACTTGAATTGGTATGCAGGCACCCCAAAAAACTGTCAGAATTGGTATGACATGCCTTTATTTCTTCAACCACAGCGGAATGGATAGGACAAGGTGCACCACAATTCTCTCCAATATCTTGAGGTAGAGATGTTTCCAAAATAATAGGATCACGGCCACATTCCCGCAATGGAACACCTTGAAATTTTCCTTTCACATCATTTGTCTGGAGCAGATCAGACACTTCATTGGAAACATCATTTGCTCCTACATCATGAAACATTGCAGCACAAGTAGTATCTTCTTTTGAAGGATTAGCACCCTCGTCAAACCCTGTCACACCAGGACTATCTGTTCTCATGTGATCATCATTTCCATGCAGATGCTTCGAAGTCATCATCTCTGAATGAGGTTTAATTTTTTTCACTACTCTGACTCTCTTAACTGCTTTCTTAGTGACTTTTTTCTTCTTTTCAATCTTTACAGTAGGTGACTTATTGGCAAGAATGTTATCGTTTTCTATGCCTCGAATGTTACCACTATCAGATCCAGAAGCTATACCAGTCTTGAAAGAAATTCCCTTGCCATAACTCATACTTGTATCAACTTTATAGGAATCTAAATTCATCTCAGAATGTGTCTCATTAACTTTTCCACCAGAAACTGCCATAATTCCAGATTGAAGGACAAGACTATCTTGATCTAGAAGTGGAGTGTAGTAAGACTTATACGCCTTACCCTTACCAACTGAGCTAGAGGTTCCCTTGGAACAGGGTTGATTGTTGATCTTACTCCCTGTATCAGATGCTGCAACAACTCCCTCTTCTGATGGTTTTGAATCCTTCAAAGTACAATTGGCAAACTCGGGAGGTCTGGTTAGATATACCATGCTCTTGTCAGGTTTGTTAATGAGTGAACTGGTAAAACCCCCATTCAATGCATCAATACTCTTCAATCTCTTGGTCCTTGGAGTCAAATCTTTGTCAGGAGTAGTCAATGAACTTGTTGGTGCAACAACTGCTTTGGCTACCAAGGAATTGGATTTGAAAGAAACATCAAGCTCCACTGATCTTCCTTCTCTCTTTTCTTTCATGACATGATCAGGAAACACAAGCGGCCCTTTACCTCTAAAGGAACCAGAACCGCTCTCATCACGATGATTAAAACTGTGCAACCTCTCATCGTCCCCATTCCTTCGATCAGCTCTCGGCAATTGAAGCCTCAGAAAAGCACTCTTTTTCTGCACCTGTTTCTTTGGCGTGACACTATATTCATGAAAACCTACCCTGCTTCTTCTAGCACTGCTGCTATATCTTCCCCAATCAGACTCATGAACCTGTGATTCTCCAGAAACATATGGCATGCCATCGACATCGCTAATCTCATGATCCCTAGTCTCGAAAACTAAGTCATGCAAACCTACAGATGGAACCTGCCTATGACTATACCTCCTGTGTTTTTCACTCAATAGATCCATCCTATCATTACTAAAAAGTTCGCCGTCTTCAATCAGTCCACGAATGTTAGCAGAACTTGATACAGAGCTCCTGAAAGAGCCATCATAAATGACAGACCGCATCCGCGAGAAATCATCTTGCCGACGGGATTCAAACCCATCCACGCCGTCGTCCCTAAATCTAGGAATCGCATCTGCATTGCGCTTAACGTGGTAACGAGAGTCCCGATCCAAATCGACTTGCACGTACGGACTCGAAACATGATTATCAGCCACAATCGCCAATTCCGGGCGACGGACATCGCTGAGGCGATTGTTGTTGTGGGGACAAACCGATCGTCTACGGCGATCGTCGTCGATCGGGTTGAAGGTCCGAAACGTGAACGGCGATTGCAGCGACGGGGGAGGTAGGACTGGAGGAGGGGGAGGAGCAGCGGGAAGAGGGTTGTAGGACTGCGACGGCGGATGTGGCTGCAGCGGCGGCGGCGGCGGCGGCGGCAGCGGTTGTGGGGGGAGCAGCAGCTGGCGGCTCTTGTGGTGATCGTGGAGGTGGTGGTGGTGGTGGTGGTGGTGGCGGTGGTGGGGGATGTAAACGCTGGGGTCTTCGGGGAAGTGAGGACGGTGAGGAGGAGGAGGAGCAGGAGGAGGCGGGGGAGCGAACCTCGGCGGCTCGCGGCGGCGGTGGTGGTGGTGGCGGTGGTGGTCGGCGTAGGGAGGAGCCTCCATGGGTGGACGAGAATTCATCGATCCTCTCTGGTGTATGTTCTTGGGGAACGATGATGCTTAGGTCGTAAGATCGAGAGCCAATCAACATTAATTGCCTAACAGGAAACTCCCAATTATCTTATTATTATAAAAAAAATTAAATCATTTTTTATTCCTGATCAAATAAAAAATCTAATTTCGACCAAAAAAATGAAAAATCTAACATTTATTTATTTAGTTTGATTAAAAGAAAGTGTGCATTAGTCAATCAGTCAAAACACATGTCCTTGTAATTATTTTTATTTTAATAATCTTAGCATACCCAAATTAACAACAAAAATGTCTATCCATATAGAAAATCAATTGATCATAAAAATACTATTTAAATTGTCATTCGCGAAATCTCTTGTAACGATAGTGCTAAAAAGCAAAATCGCCCTGTAATTAATCATATTATTACTTTTTGTTTGGTAATATACCAAATGAACTCGTGATGAAACATCATAAGTGGTTGAACTTAAGTAAAGCGAGATATCAAAATATTATACGATGGATACTCTTTACCGTGCAAAAAGTGAGGAGTGATATGCACAATTGAAAAGGAGGAGAATAAAGTTACAATTAAAGTTAAATTCTTATGTGGTAGGCTAAAGCTTATGTAGAGCTTTATTTAAAATCATCATAAAGTTTATTCTCTTATTAAAAGAAACACGAGGCATAAATTTATAATATTATTTAATAATTTTAAGGGAAAATTTCAAAAGGGGGCCCGAAGTAGTTTCATTTTTTTTCAAATAAGGGCTTGAAGTGGACTTTGTCTTGAATAAGGACACGAAGTGTCATCATTTTTTCAAATAAATGCCCGAAATGAATCTTGTCTCAAATAAGGCTTAAAGTGGCCATATCAGTCTCAAATAAGGACTTGATCTCATCGGCCAAAGGGTATTTTCGTCTTTTACTTTTTTTTTAATTTTCTTTCTTTTTTCCTTTTTTTTGTTTTTTTCTTTTCATTTTCCTTTTATTTTTTTTCCTCTCTTCCCTTCGCTGGCCATCGCCGGTCCGGTGGAGGCTGCCCTCGCCTGGGCAGGTGAGGGTGGCCCTTGCCGGATCTGGTGTGGGTCGCCCTTGCCCGCTCAGCCCAAGCGAGGCGACCCTCGCCCAAGGCGGGCTGGGCGGCCCTCGCCCAATGCCAGCGAGGGTGGCCCTCGCCCGTCAAGCCTAGGCAAGGCAACCGTCGCCCGACGCCGGCGAGGGCAACCCTCGCCTGAGGCCGGTGGAGGTCGCCGGCCAAGCGTAGTAACGGCTGGGGAGGGAAGAATAAAAAAGGAAAAAGAAGGAAAATAATGTAAAAAAAATCAAAAAATATACATATAAATTTTTTTGACTAAAATACCCCTTTTCTGGCGATGGAATAGTCACCGGCCGATCAAAGGTCCTTATTGGAGACGATTTAGCCACTTCAGGCCCTTATTTAAAACGATTTAGCCACTTCAAGCCCTTATTTAAAACAATGTCCACTTTAACCCCTTATTTAAGAAAATGACTCCATTTCGAGTTCCTTTTTGAAATTTTTCCTAATTTTAAGTACACACAATATTTCAAAAACGTTAAATAATATGAATGTCTAATTAATAAGTTTGACAATGGGATACACATATCATATTGTAACTCGTTTTAATTTCTTATGTGGTGTCAAGTAGGTGCCATAAAATCAACATAATTTATTTTTCAACACTTGAGGGCTACGGCACCACCGCTCGCCGCCACCCCACACGAGAGTCACAATGCTAAAGGCATGTGACCACCTCTCACAATGGTCGCTCAGGGGCGACCCTCGAGTGATAGCGGTCGCTTTCTAGATCTAAGTTCGTAGATCTATGAGAGAGGGAAGAGGCAGCTCACGAGGCGAGCACCCAAGGCAACTACAATAACCACCGCGCGACGACTGCGCCGATCGAGACAACGGCCTCATGAGGAAACGGTGTGGGGGTAGCAGATACGACGGAGATTAGCTACCGAGTAAGATCGATGCCTCTCGTGAGAGAAGCCCGCGGCCTATTAGTTTATCTACACCAAACTATTTAGCATTCATGTATTTACGAGCCTAACCTATCTTTTATCATTGGTGATCTCGCCCAAATCAATTGACCCGTTTCCTTTGAGTTTGTGATTTGACAGAAAACGGACGTTTACATGCAGAAATAGGGAACTGCGAAGCCATAGTTGCGACCCAGATTCACGGCATTGCAGCAATAATTCACCCTAAAAGGGAGGAAGAAGAGAAGAAGATCCTCCTGAGCGTCGGTGGGCAGTGGGAGTTGTTGAATCTGTCAAGACAAGGACTCTTTACCAAGCAAAGCAAAAAGGGAGGTGGCCGTACTGTAGTCTTTTGTGGTTCAAAAGTGGGCACTTGCGGACTTTGAAAATGACGGGATTTGCACAGAAAGTGAGGACCCAACCGAGGGATGATGTTGATGGGGGCTTCAAAAGTTAGGCCAAGTCAATTCATGGCTCTGAATGAGAAAATTCACACGGAAGAAAAGTTCAAAGCTCATCACTAGTTCCATGCCGCCAGAATTTGACCATTCGCAGTTCATCATTCACCGGACCAAACAATTTGAATTCAGCAACGGACTGTAATAATACCAGGTGCTCGACGAATCAAGGTCGCCGGTAACATTGTGAGATGCAACAGTTCAAAAATCGGTTTTATTGGCCTTTCCGGCAGATACAGATGGATGTATAGTGAACTTATCTCACTTCCCCCACATTCCCCCCCTTGATTCAGGGGAAATGTGTTATGACTAATGCCTAATGTAAGGGGAGGGAGGAGGACTAACCCACAAAACTACCTCTCATCCAACACCCACCTAATGAGTAAAAAACCCAGAGAAAGACAACTGAAAACCAATGGGAATATGGTCATGGATCCAAAAGCATATACAAAGAGAGAAGGAAGAAATGCAGAGCGTGCTCGCGTTCTGCGTGAAATAATTGATTAGTCGAAGCTCGATGAACGGCTCCATCGGCCTTTCAAATAGTCCTCCAGTGAGACGTTGGAGTCGATGATGCTCACGGACGATGAATCATCCTCCATGTCGTGCAGCGCAAGGTTCAGGTGGGACTGGATGTTAGGGTGAGCACAAGCTTCATCATCCACCACATCAGATTGGTCACAAGAGACTTGTAGCCGTGCCCACTTCACTATATCAGCGTCGCCATGGAGGAGCTTTACCACCTGTACTTATTTCCCAAAACGAAACCGAAAACTAGAATCCATTATAAGGAGAAGCTATAACATGTAGCAAAAAATTCACAATCGCTTCAATAACTTCGACACATGGTATGCTGTTCCACTAGTGACTGGAATAATCACCCTGATTTAAAGCAATAACTATCTATGAACGTCCTTTCGGCCTTTTCCCAAAGCTTTAGTTCTTTTTTAGAAATCCAAGTAGACAAAGACGTGTACAAACATCATTTCTTTATCAATCTCTAATGCTTGAAGCAGAGACTCGAGAAAATTAATAGGTAATTATGGGCGCAAGAGCTAACCTGAAACACCACCAGACCATAACACCAGAGACAAATTACAAAGAAGAAAAAGATAAATGCCATGCGGAGAAATCAAAGATATAGAATCAACTCACATGGTTCATTTGGGGCCTAGCTCGAGGTGCACGTCTGACACAAAGTGTGGCAGCTAAAACCATTCTCTCCAACTGGTGATGATCGTAATTTTCACCCAAGCTCGGGTCTAATAGTTCGGATATTTTCCCACCATTAAGAATTGGTCTTGCCTGGAGAAACGCATCTATCGTCTTTTAGTATCTAACATGTAAAATATGAGAGTCAAAGTTGATATTTACATAAAGCAAATGACAGAAGACATACCCACATAACCAGGCTCTCTTGGCCGTTTGGAAAGTCATTGCTTATGGGCTTTCTACCAGAAAGAAGCTCAAGCAGTACCACACCATATGCATAGACATCAACCTTGTCATTGACTTTGCCATACATGAAATATTCAGGAGCCAGATAACTGCAGTAGCTCAAAAATCATGACAATGTGAGTTTCTGACTTAAATAAATGATTATGGCTGGGAGACAATAGCTACAGTGCTGAGAATACCGACCCAAAGGTTCCTGCAACATCTGTGCATGTTATATATGTAGAGGAGGTTGATGCCCATTCAGCAAGCCCAAAATCACATAACTGAGAAAATAAGGTAGATCAATTTATCAACATACCATCCAAAACAGATAAGAAAAAGCCAACAAGGTGAGACAGTTCCACGATACATCACCTGTGGTTCGAAATCTTCAGATAACAGTATATTTGATGATTTGACATCCCTATGTATTACGGGTTGAGCACTTCTTTCATGGAGGTACTCCAAGGCCTCAGCTACTCCAAGAGCAACCCTGTATCTTTCTCTCCAACCAAATGCATTTGGATTTTTCTTGATTCCTGCCATATATGAATATATAGATCGAATAAATAATCCAAATCTGATGAATGACTGTAAAATCATCTTCAACTTCTGGTGAAATCATAAGTAACAGAAGATTGTAGAAGTCATGCACCATAAAGGTTGTCTTCAAGACTTCCTCTTGATAGGAAATCGTAAACCAACAGAAGATGGTTGTCTTCGAAGCAGAATCCAATAAGAGAAACAATGTTCTTGTGATGCAATGTCGTAATAATCTCTATTTCCAGAATAAATTCCTTAAGTGCATCTTCAGATCGCTTTAGGATCTTCACGGCAAGCTCCTTTCCATCAGGAAGGCAACCCTTGTAAACTTGACTACTGCCTCCTTTCCCTATCAGATTCTCTGAAACAGAATAGACAGACAACCCCTTACTAAGAGCTTCTTAGTTAAAAAGGACGAATGTAAATCTATGCTTCTCCAGAAAATGAGGTTAAGTAGCAGAACGCACCTGCCAAGAAAAAGGTTGTTGCTGCCTGCAGTTCATCGTAAGTAAACAATCTGCATGTTGATGAGTATTTTTCATGAAGACCCTCCAACTCTTTTGGCAAACTACTTGGACTCTCATCAGGAGGATGTGTTCTCTGAGCCTCATTACCTGCGAGAACAAGTGCTCCGCTTTCTTCATCTAAACTTGAGGCTTCTTGTTCACCCTTGGTCGAACCCCCTTGTTTCTGCTCTGAAGTAATGGACGAAAATAGAAAATGCCTGCTTGGTAATCGCATTACCCACTGAACCACAGAGATCTCCCTTCCTGAAGAATGGTCAGGAGTCTGCCTGTCCGCTAAAATTGCACAACGAAGCAGTGGCCAACCCGGCTGCTGTGCAGGCATTTCTCTACTCTGTGGAGAAACTGACCCTGATGTTGCTTCATCTGTCTGCAATGGTATGATAGCCAAAGAATTTTCTTCATCGTGGTTACTGGAAGTTTCCTCGGAAGCATTGTCGCAAGAATTATCAGCCTGTCGTGTGGTGGAAGCACAAATAGAGCAGTCATGCTTCACAATAGTCTCTTTAGCATCAGCAGAGGCTTTCAGCAAAACCTGCTCCAAGGTTTCTGCCCCACTCGCATTACCCGTGGACTTTGGAGATACTGTGAAATCGCTATCATTGAGAACTTTAGAGTTCTTACTTATTGATCGATGAAATACATTAAGCAAGCTGTTTGGCCGAAGATTATCAGATTTTCCTGCGACTAGACATTTGAGGATCCATTCAGTCACCTTAAAATGCTAGTATCTCTAGTATCAATATTCGACATATCAGACATTGAATTACCTTGTGAGACATGGAAAGTCGCAGGAGAGCCCTCTCTCTGGAAGATAACTTTCCCATTATCGACAGCAAGAACCCAACAGTCTTTCGGCAGTTTTTTGGCACAGTATTTGGCCACAGAGGTTGATGGCCGAATTGGGTGGTGATTCCTCGCGGTTCCAACAATGACCCTGGTCGCGCCATATGATTTCGCCTCGCGAACCAGAATCTTCCGAACGGATGTGCCCCTGCAGATCTTGAGCTTAAGATCAACCTGCACAATTCACAACCGAAACCAAAACCTCAATATAAGTTTGATCACCCAAATAATGATCTAGTCATAGAAACTATACACCAAAAGGCAAAACTTTAAAGTAAATTTCTACTTAAGCAGGAAATGCTCGCGCTCCATGAACACGCGCCGCAAACAAAGACGTGCACAACGAGATGACGGAATTAACGGCGAAACTTCACAAGCGAAAATCCCGAGCTTTTACAGTTCGTTAGGAATCAAAGTAAGTCGAACTCAAAGCGTGATTGAATTTTGTTGTCCAGTCCTCTGTTTCCCCTGCGGACAAATCTCGAGGCAGTTGAAACAATGAAACAGAAGGAGAAGGAGAGCTCAAAAAAACCTGCTTCAAGTTGCAGAAACCTTCGTAAACAGCAAGAACGGAGTCGAAGGCTTTGACCAGCGAGAGCAACGACGACTTCCCATCCCGGTCCACAATCTCTGCAAATGCAAACGAAAGGCTGGCTTATCAATCACACCCAATCTCCAAAAAAGAAAAACACAACCTCAGAGCTCACAGAAACTCCAACCCCGAGCCTTCCTCTCTCTCTCTCTCTCTCTGTCTCTCTGTCTCTCTCACCGTTGCTCCCGAGGACATGAAGCGCGACGACGCGATCCCCGGGCTCGGCGACCTTGACCAGAGCCCACGTCAGCAGCTCCCTGCTCTGCGGATCCAGCTTGACCCCGACCACCACCGTGCGGTCCCCGGGGACTTCGGCAGGGAGCTCTGCCACGTCGGCGGCGGCGGCGGCTCCGCTCCGCTGCATTCTCATCGCGGGCGGGGCGCGCGAGACGTTCAGAGTCCGGCGGCGTCGTGGTGGGCTCGTGGAGGCCGAAGAAGGGGCGAGCTCATCGCTCTGTGAAATGGGGGCTGGCTGGCGTCGAAGAGCTTGTTCGGTATATATGGTTCCACAGAGACAGAGACAGAGAGTTGTTGCTTGGTTTGAGCTATCGCTTAACCGCCGGGTGGCTTGCTTTTCAAGCGCTCCTCTCTCTCTAACGCACGAGCGCAGAGCCGCAGACCATCATACTAGAGAGAGAGAGAGAGAGAGAGAGAGAGAGAGAGGGAAAAGGGAGAAAGAGAGAGGGAGAGGGAGAGCGTCGTCTCAGGCACTGCTCTGTTTCGTATGTATGTATGCAGTGGAGTGGTTGTGGCTTTCGTAGAAAGAAACTGCTGCTGCTGCCTCCTCCCGCTTTTTACCTGCTTGACCTAAATATCTGCACGCATTATTTCCACGATTTTGACTGAAGCTTCGAAAAATATTTTTCTTAAAAGCGCCTGAAAATAATTAATCGACGGAATATATTTTCATATCTAAATAATTTCATGGATGATAAAAATATTTTTTGTTCATTTATTATCGTAAGTAACGAAAGCGATCATTTTTCGGGAAAATATTTTTTTTCCAATCACTCGTTTCCTACGAAGCAAATGAAGGCTGAAATAATACCAAGTTTTAGCGCGTACACCATTAGTTTTCATTTCTCGCTATGAGCATATAATAAAATGGATTTTATTAATAACTCCGTCTGAAATTATCAAACATATTTGAATGAGGATTGCAATTATCCAAATCATTGGTTGTAGAGCCCGTCGGTGATTTGGATATTGGAATATTTTCTTAATAAGTTGTGTATCAAATGCCCCGAGACATTTTTCAACAAAGTCCTAATAAAATTCATAACTTTAACTGCATGAGGAAATTTAAATAAATTGATATTATTTCCTTTTCTTTTTTCTTTTGACTCCTATACAATTTTTTTTCCTAAAAAGAAAACATATGCGAACATTTTTCTGTATTTTCCATAACTCAAAATAAGTATTTTTTTAAAATTAAAAATTACAGAAAATGAAAGAAGTAGTCTAAAACTCACATAATGTGCAAGGATAAAATTATTCGCACTAAAAGGACAATCAAGTAATTTTATCAAGTGCGCTTTCTTAGTAGATGTAGGTAATTAAATCCTTTATTTGACCTTTTTGTCCTTTTTCTTCGAGCAATTTTACCTTTTCTGCTCTTTGATTTATAAGTAAAGAAAAATAAGTTTATAAGGCATTAATGTAAAAGACATAAGTGAGGCAATTGGGTGTTTTCCCGTATAGGTATAAGTTGATAGACATCAATTTTTATTTGATTATCACACAAGTAAGTTAATCATTAGACGATAATTATGTTCAATGTCCTGGCATTGTTTGTCCCGGCTTAAGACATAAACATAAGGTTTACTTTTCCCTTCCATATTTTAATATGGAAAAATTATATATGCAATTTAAGTAATGTATTTATGAAAAATCTATATATCTCCATCTTTACATGCTTTCAATTGATTTTGGTGTTCAATATTAAATGAAAGTCAATTTCCGACGATATAAAAAAATTCAAACAGCAAGAGATATACGTCCATTCAAATAAACCTTGGTTTGACAATTTAGGTGTGGTTTAAAATATGATAAAAATACGAAAAATTCCAAATAATGGCCTGAAGTGCCCTCATTTTTCTCAAATAAGGGCCTGAAGTGGACCTTGTGTCAAATAAGGGCCTGAAGTGGTTATAACAGTTTCAAATAAAGGCCTCATCCCGCCGGCTCACTGGTCGGCCAAATTTTTTGGCCGGTCAAGGGTATTTTTGTCCAAAAATAATTTTAAAATAAAATTTAGTTAAATTGGATTTAAAATTTTAAAAAATTAAAAAAAGAAAAAAGAAAAAAAAAACAAGGGGAGGGCTAGATGGTCGATAGGGTCGTCGGCGCCTTAGTGAGGGTTGGCGAGGGCCGGGCCCTCGCCAGAACCGGGAGAGGGCGGCGACCCTCTCCCGGTTCCTTCGCCCGGGTTTGGGAGAGGACCGCCGTTACTGTGCAAAGGCAAGGCTGACCCTCTCCCGCAAACCCAGGCCGGTGTAACGACCCGATCCGATGAGGACGGAGAGTGGTCGCCGGGGCGAAGGGCCAGACAAGGAGCGGCTCTTAGCGGGCTTCTAGGATGGCAAGGGGGCATGTCTCTGCCCATCGCTGGGGAGTCTGGGGTTGCTTATAAGGCCGGGTGGCCTATCACTGTACGGTTTTAAAACGGAGAGGACTTAGTGTCAAAGCGGACAATATTACCAAGGGGGGCGGTTGGGCGGGTCCTTACAAATGGTATCGAGCCGACTCAGCCGCGTGTGGGGCCACGTGGGACGAGGCTCGAAGGAGAGGAGAATGTAACGACCCGTCCGATGAGGCGGGGAGTGGTCCCTCCGGACAAGGACCTGAGGCTTCAGGATGGTAAGGGGGCATGATCGCCCACATCGCTAGGGGAGTCCGGGTTGGGCGACCCTCTGTACGCGTTTTAAACCGTGAGGACGTGTCAGCGGACTATATCAGTGACCCGCAACGCGTGGTGGGGCCCGTTCTAGGCGATGGGGAGGTAGCCATAGGCGTCCCGACCCTCCCCCTCTTTTTTACCTTTAGCTTTTTTTTTGCCCTCCCCCTCTTTTGTTTACCTTTAGCTTTTTTTCTTAGTTTGTTTTTTACGGAAAAAAAAACACAAAAGGAAAAAAAAAAGACGAGAATACCCTTGACTCTTGTTAGGTTTTGCCATTTTTTGAGACTGAGATGGCTACTTTAGACCCTTATTTGAAACAAAATTCAATTTAGACTCTTATTTGGTAAAATGAAGGCACTTCAGGCCTTATTTGACACAAGGTCCACTTTAGGCCCTTATTTGAGAAAATGATAGCACTTTGGGCTCTTATTTAGAAATTTCCCGATAAAAATATAAATTATCTTTGGTTTTGGTTCCATAATTAACTATATTGAACTAAATAGATAATACTTTTAGAGATAATTCCTATTTAAGTGAAAGGGTTTAACTCTAAATCACTCTTTTTTAAACTTCAAATTATGTCTAACGTCAAATGATAAACATTTTTTTTTTATAATAGTCAACTAATAAACTTCATTTGCTTCGATTAATATGATAATTTAAATCACTTTGTAAATCAGTATTGTGAGATCATTCATGAGTGACGCATTACTTTATCTGTATAATATCGATATCCGACTTATATCTCTCGCAAAATACTTCAATTTGAACCTTTAAGTACCTTAAAAAAATTAAAAAAACCTTTAAGTACATCGTTGTGCGTGTTAACCCTAAAACCAAGAAAGCTACGTTTGTTTGAACAGAATTCTTCCCCCGTTTTTCGTTTTTAAGTGTTGCGAAAGCGACTACAATCGTCTTCCTAATCGCTTGTGAAGACAATGTTTTTGCTATGTAATTAATTAACTAAAGGCTTTCGTGTAATTTAAGACCTCGGAAGCATGCACATGGTCATTGGTCATGGAGGATGATAGGCTTGGTCCCGACGGTACGGTGGGACGCAACCACAAGTCACTTCACGCTTAATTTTGATTAATGCGTCTTACCCATTTTTTAATTAGCATTAAAATTAGTTAAGCGTGCAACGTTATGGAGGTTGCGTCGTGCTTGGGCACATGTCTAGGGATTATCGGATCACTAATTTTTTCATTATATAAGTGAGATGCTCAAGTATTTAAGTAATATCATCAATTAAGGTGTAATTTACAAAGATAAATGGGAGTAATTTTCTTTGGATTCAAAGAAGTGGGGTAGGTCGTGCCACATTCATCATCTCCCAAATTTCTTTTCATTAAAAAAAATACCGAAAACATGCCTCACTTTTGGTCCGATTATCACTTACGTACATCTGTTATTACAAATATCACTCGATTCATAAAGTCGTCACGTCACGGGAGATATAATCAAAGGGCTTTTTGTGGCTTCTCTTTAGTCCTTAAAAATTGAGATTAGATTTGTGTTTGGTACTTCGATGCCTCATATCTCTACATCAAACAAATAATAAAAAAATTTAAAATCAGATCTGATTTTTCATTACTTTTGAAAACGAGGATACCTTTTAACTAGCGGAATACAAGTCCCCGATAGCCGACGGCCCAACATATAAAAAAAAAAGTGGAAATTTTCTAATAAATATAAGCAGCGTGAAATGATCTTCCATTTATGTCTAAAAATTCATCCAAACATGGGAAAGTAAAATCATTATCCTTCATAATGACTTGCTTCGAAAATATTTTTGACAACAACAAAATCTTCACAAAACAAAATTAAATTAATTGTCCAATTAATTGAGCGTAAAAAAAGAAGAAACTAAAAGAAAGAGAGATTCTTAATAAAATGTAATTACCATAGAGATTATCCATAATCTTATTTCGCTCCTCATAAAGCCTTATTAATCAATGAAGTTGGATGGTAAAACATTCCACATCGTTTACTTACGTGATTTATAATGATCCCATATATATATATAATCATATTGAATTAAGTATTTTAATAAAATAACATAGTCAAGTTTCGAGACTATTTCATATAGTTTGCATTGAGGATTTATATAGACATATTATGCATGTAGTATCACAATTCAACAACCAAACTATTTAGGACAACTTTTCCAAGACCTTCTAGTATTAAAATTACAATATGCTTTACCATAAGGTTTCTTGATAAGTATGAGATCCCCTTTTTTTGGCCAGCCAACGTGGAATGGAAAATTACATTGCATAAAGCTATTTAGAGTCATAGTCATAGCGCCTAAATTTGACTCTCTATTCGCGTGCTTATCTTTTTTGACAACGCATGGGCCAAAAACATGAAACTCATGGTTATCGTTTGGTCAAATCTAGTAAGCACTAGTCGTATGTCATTATCCTAAAGCTGAGTATTAAACGAACTTTCGTTTAGTAATTGCATATAATATATGTATAATTGGACAAATTCCCTTAGAACGTCGCTAAAGTTAGGTGGTATTTGCAATCATATCATTAAACTTTGATTTCTACGGTTCCATATGCTAGACTTTCATTCCCCCCCTTTTTTTTTCATTTCGTTTGATGCTCTTTGACAAGAAGACGGCCAATTTCTTGGCGGGATCATTGTCCAAAAAGTTATAAATTTATTGTGCAGTGATCATTTCAATCCTAAACTTTTCAAATTGGTCAATTTAATACTAAACATTTTGATGATTTACCAATATCCAAAATTGATCGGAAATCGCTACCGTTGACGCTGGTCAACCTACGC